AGCATTCTGCTTTCCCGGCTTATACTTCCCCTCGAAGTTATATTCTGCAAAGTAGGATAGCCATCTATCCATCCTCTGCGAGAGGTGGGGCGACTGAGTCGCAGTGCGTAATGACGCATGATCTGTGTAGATCACAAACGGCTTGGAGACGAGCAGGTGGACCCTAAACTTGACAAGTGCATACTTCATCGCAAGTAGCTCCTTGTCATGAACTGGGTAATTCTTCTTTGCAGCTTTGAGCTGTCGAGATTCGAACTTGATCACCCGATCTCGCCCCTCGGTGACTACTTGCAGCAGTGCACAGCCGATGGCAAAGTCCGAAGCGTCACAGACGACGCTGATAGGACGATCGGGGTCTGGCAGCGCCAGTATCGGTGCATGCAGGTGGCTGTCTTTGACCCCGTCAAAAGCCTTCTGATGTTTGGTGTTCCAACACCATTCCGCATTCTTTTCAAGGAGATTAGATAATGACCGGGCCATTTCTGCGTAATTTACGCTATACTTGTGCAAGTAGATGGGGAGACCAAGCCACTTACGCAAAGCCCTTGTAGTTCTTTGGAACTGGCCAGTCTACAGTTGCCTTGACCTTAGCGGGATCAGCTCGAAGGCCACGCTTCCCAATGAATCACCCTAAAAAAGGGAATCTTTTCCGCTCCAAAAAGGCATATGTCTGCATTGGCGTACAGTTTGTTTGTGCGCATGCACTCGAACACCGCTCTTAAATGGACGATGTGGTTCTCCTCATCTATCCTCCCGTGCTCCGCACGACTACGAACGAAAATGTCGTCATACGCCCTGTGGGGCCTGAACAACTGCGTCCCCAGACGATTGAATGTTGCTGGTGCATTTGACAGCCCTTGAGGCATCACCAGCCACTCCCAGAGCATGCCGCTCGGAGTGCTCTCCGCAGTTAGCGGAATATCACTCGCTCTCATGAGCAATTGGTAATACCCATCGACCAAATCGGGTACACTGTACTTCGTACATCCCACCATGTTGTTCTGAAGAACATCCTTTCCAGAAATCGACGTCTCTGCCGGAATGGTGACAGCGCTGACCTTATTGTAGGCATGAACGATACGCCACTTGCCGTTTGGCTTCCGAACACAAAACGTGGGTGACGAATGGGGAGACTTGCTCTCATGCAACAATTCTGCGTCGTGCTTCGCACAAAAAAAGGCGTCAATGACGCCGCATTGCTCCTTGGGCAGGGGTCATTCGCGTGTTACGCAGTATTTGGTTCCTGGAACCAGGTCGATCTCATGACGCACACCTCGGTC